TTGGAAAAGCAAAATAAAAATAAAAATGTAGTTGCTTGATCAAATGCAAAGACCAAATATGGATCTATGGCTGCAATTACTAGTGAATTGATACGTCTGAAATCACTATTTTGAGAAATGTGGTTCCAAACGGCCAATCTTATGGAACCGTTATGTGACAATTAAGCAGTTGTGCATATAGCTTCCAATCCAGTCTTTGTTTTTTTTTTTTTTTGGTAACTCAGTGAGGAAGACAAGCCCCTACCCATTCTTCCAAATAGATTAGGGTGTTAGCTTTTTTGAAGGTGTCAGTGAGTTGTGTCAGCAATATTGGAAACCATAATGTGGTAACTAGGTATTAGCATTCCTCATGTTTCAAGTGAAGATGTGTTGCTCTAAAAAAATGAGTTGCACTAATTTAAAATATTTAAAGAAACATCATGACTCCAATGAACAACTAGAGGGAAAATACATCTAGGGCCCAATTTTCCTATATATTCCATATCATAGAAAGATATTATTGGGAACGAAAGAGTTTCAGAGGTTCAATCATCTGTTACAATTTGCATCAGCTCCAAAGCTAGGCTGAAATCCTTGATTCGAGCCTTAAAGCTTATAGATACGATTCAAGGAAAGGAAAAATATAAGGACACAGAAAATAAATCAATACCAAGGGCATAACGAGTCCATATACCTAGCTATATGTAGAGGTGTTATTTGTATGGCCTTCTCCTTCTTTGATATCAGATTTCAAGTGAGTCTAAGTTTAATAACTTATCTCTCAATCATATTTTTGCACTATAGTTAAGAAAACAACAATATCAATGGGGTTGCTTGTTAACTAACAGTGGATACAGTCACTCTATCATACAATTATCACAAAAGAGTGTGTATGTCTCAATCTTTCTCTTTGATTGAAAACAACAAAATCGAATCGAAAGGTTCCCCCTCCCTCATCAAGAAACGAGGTTTGTATAAGCATTCACCTGTTGATAATCATAAAAGCTTGTGATGTTTATCCATCTGCTGACCACATGTTCCTATCTTCCACGATCTCACCTCAAGATGATAACCATGTTTTTTTTGCTTGAATTCGAATGCCTTCATAGGTGATCCTGATGATAACTATATATCTTATTGAAGTCTATCCATCTTGTGTTCGAATTTGAACTCGCAGCTCCTAGATTCAGTAAGGACAATGCCTGAGAAAAATAATAAATTCAGTTACTTCTTATCCGTCATCGGTCAAGTTGCTGCATCATAGTTCTGCTATGTCTTTGTATTTCTTCCACCACTTTCTGATGACGAATCTTTTGATCATGAAATTTGGAGAGATGATAGAAGACTCGGTGATGAAATTGAAGAATCGCTTCAAATGTATCATATTTGAGAGAAATATGATTCACTAAAGTGGACCCCTTCTTTGTTGGAAATTACATCAGCAGGATTATGGATTGTAGAGTCAACTGCTAATACCTCAGGAATTAATATAATGCCTTACCTTTTAAAGTTGATAAAGCATTGAGCCAGGAATCCAATAGTCCAGGTCGCATGAGAAAATTCCTCTTGGATAAAAAAAATCTTAATTTTGGTGACCCATAAGGGTTTTAACTGCCAATGGATGCGGACGATGGATTAAACCATCTCCAAATGATATGAAATTTCAAGGTGAGGGATACAATGCATTAAATATAAATCTATAAAAGTCTCAAGATTTATTTCAAACATTAAGTTTGGAATGTCAATCAAGGCATATCTTGACTACCAATTATAGGAATGTTGGGGTTAAGCTAACTTTCAACGATGCCTAATTTATATAATTCATGGACTTAATAGATTATATGCAAGGATACGTCTCATTATGATATCATACAATGAGGTTTTCGTAAGGTGATAATCTTTGCCACCCAGTGCTATGGTTTATCATAATAATAATAATAATAAATCCAAATGAATGTATACACAATAGAAAAATTCAAAAATAAAATAAAATAAAATGAATGTATATATAACGGCCCAAATTTATTTACACAAATCGGACGGACGTGATGTGTTTCTTATTAAAAAAAGATCCTATTAGTATGCAAACACGATTTGCCCTTTCCACTTGGGACCCTCTTTCTCTCTCTTTCCCTTCCCTTTTTTTCTCTCTCCTCTCTTGCTTCCCATTTTCCCTCTCTCTCCCCCCATGGGTGAACTAGGGGCAAAACCCACAACCTTGCCGTGAGGAGTACTAATAACCCACAACCCCTCCTCTGAGGAGCCCCGTACATGTCCTAACTCCATCTAAAATGCCCTGAAGGTACTCTCTCTCTCTCTCTCTCTCTTTCCGAGTGCTTTGGCTCTCTCTCTGTACCTCTCAATTTTTACCTCTTTCAATTCTTTAGGCTCTCTCCCCCCATTTTTCCTCTCTTTCTCTCTCCTGCTGTTTTAGGGTCTCTCTACCTTTCTCTCTCTTTCTTTCTCCCAATGTTTAAGGCAATCTCTCTATCTCTTTCTTTCTCTAGGTGCTTTAGGCACTCTCCCTCCCCCTCTCTATTGTGAAATGTTATTTTTCTTTTTTGTTTTTTTTTTGGTAATTCAGTGGCGAAGACATGCCCCTACTCGTTTTTTTTCGAATAACTTACGATTTAGTTTTTTTGAAGGTGGTAGTGAGGTGGTGTAAGTGGGAATGAAAACCACAACATGGTGAATAAGGTGTGGAGGTGTTACCACCACGACCTCAACCCCTTTTCGTGAAACTTCTATTTTATGGGAAATTAGTTTTTTATGTATAGTTTTTAATGCATGGGAAACACCTATTTGTTTTGTACATTTTTAGGAATATTAGACTATCGTGCTCATCCACCTCAAAAAATACTCATGAGATCGGAGAGCGACAACAAAAACTGGTCCACATCAGTTTCGCTCTCTCCAAAAACATTTTTCAAATAATAATGACGATGATAATATTAATAAAAATAATAATAATTTATTAAAATACCAATGAGAGATGTGGCTAGTCCAACAAATGGTCATATATTTTTTGATGCGTATTTTGAAATTAAATCAAACTACATGAAAAAATATTAATTAATTAAATAGTTCATTTTTTAGAGGGATTTCAATAAATTTCCTTGATAATAACAATATTTGTAGCTTAAAAAAGCTCCAAATCTATTGCCACCACCATATCACATGTGGATTCTCCATTTGGATGTGCACTGGATCTAAGTAATTTGGAACTTTTTGGGAGGTTCAAACGAAATATTATTTGGGACAGCAGCATTTAAAACGATCTACTTGAGAGAGAAAAAGGCTTGGAGCTCTAAATATGCTTTATATCTATTTCCAACAAAAGAGTAGATAAGGACAACCCATTTTAATGGCCATTGTATCTCAAAGATTTGGTGCCTTTATGGGACGTTTACAATTCACATCAAATCTTATTTCAAGGACCATGATTTGGATTTGGGAGTTGATTTGGAAATCTTTTTGGTCCTTCACTCTCTTCAAAAAGTGGTTTTTGAGATGGCTATTGTTAATATTTATTTGTTTATATTGACATTTGACTGCTAAACCTTAAATATGCAAATGTTTCTAATTGGATATGTGATTCACAATTTATATAATAACCGTACTGTTTTTGTCTTATGATTCATAGGAATTTTTAGACGACCCAAATACTTGGATAAGGCTCCAATGATAATAATGAATTATTTAAAAAATTTGTTGCCATTTACTTCCTAAATTATCCATCACTATTTCTTTTCTTTGGGTAGGTAGTCCTCATTACTTTAATGCATTGATTTAAAAAACGTCGGTTCGGCATGGAATTGGTTGGTCCAACCCGAGAATCAGTCAACCCGTCTATGTATATATAGGAAAACGATTGAGTCTAGTTATGCACAGTAAAATATCGATTCTCTATAATACAACGGCGATCCATACCGCCAATTCATCGATTCAAATCGGTTTTTGGTCCGTTCACTATTTTTCATGTATTTTTTCACCGGTTCATTTTTTTTCGGCATACTGAAATGATGATTTAGGACGGTCGATCCATTGATCCAGACCTGTTTTTGGGGTGCCCAATCTGGGTCACCCGAGTTACGAATCCGTTTTTTAAAACACTACCTTAAGGGAACATGCATGCTATATTTAATTTTTCCTTCATTATGCTAGCAGTCCTACACCTGACATTATTTTAAGGAAACATACATGCTAGATTTAGTTTTTCCTACATTATGCTAGCAGTCCCACTACTGACCAATGTCAGCTAGGAAGAGGTATGTCATTCCTCTACCCAGAAAATAGATCAAAATATAGTGCACTTTTCTTTATTTTTGAATTTTGACAACAAAATTGAGTTGTTTGATGAGCCTCTACGACCACATATAGAGGAACCACAGCCGTCGATTCATCTACACGGTCTATTTAAAAGTGGTATGAATCATGACTAGTACCTGCGCGTTTGGGCTGTCTTATTTAAACCGACCATGGACGCCAGGTTCACTTAAAACCGGCTCCAGTATCGATTGAAACTTTTGGACCCAGACTTTAGGTAGATAAAAAGTGCTTATGAAATTATTTGTTGATGAGTTCGAGATAGTTATATCCAAAATTTGAAGCCTTAAAAACTAAAAAAAATTTATACAATGAGACTGTCTATTTTTTATACAAGGAGGTCATAATCATTCTTGATTGTTAGATTTGAATTTGGATGATTGAGAAAGTGTAATTGTTTAGGCACAAAGTTCAAAACAAAATCTCTGGGATGTTGTGATACACTTTAATCTATTAGATTCCATATCCAATGGCTAAAAATAGTTGTGACCTCCTTGTATGAAAAACAAATAGTCTCATTATATATAAGCCCAAAAATAAAAGTATTATAGATAAAGTTTACCCCTAAGGGAGTAATTTAAGACATGAGCACATAACTTTTTGGAGTAGAATGCACCTTTTAAAAGAAGAACGAACCTAATGCTCCCATTTTTCACAAATAAAAGAAAGGAGAGAGATAGAGAGAGATGCTTCCATATAAGATATAAAAGGAAAAAAGAAGTAGGACAGTCTTGAATGTGTGATCATAAGGCCCCACATGCACCCCGTGACCTTTATTTCAACAACAGTGATCAAAACCATCAATTTTTTACGAAGTTCTTACTCTTTTTTCTTTTATGTGTTGATTTAGACTTGGGGAGAATGAAACTCAAGATGTCGTATAGTGATACCCACCACCCTAACCACCTACACCTAGAGCTCATCCTCGACTTTTTAAGAACTTCTTTCCCTACAATACATTGCTGAAGCCCGGAGCAGCAAGCATAGCAACTCATTGGGTGCTGAGAAAAATGGGCTGTGGTCTGTATCCATGGTCATTACCTCTGTTGGTGGCCAACACTTGATCATCTCCTCTTGCACCTCCAGCTTCAGTATATTGTCCTTCAATGTCTTTATATAAACTCGGGTTACCTTGTCAATATCTTCTGTGTGTTCTCCTTCATAGCATGCATTAAACATAGAACCCAATGGCCATGGCCTCAAGAGCATAGAAGCTAGGGTTGAGTCCTGTGAATGCCACATTTGGAATGTTATAACAATACATATTAATGTTAAAGCCAATATTTCAAAACCAGACAATCTGAAATGGGAATCACCGATCTAGATTAGAAGTTGACCTGGACCGAATTGGTTCCAAGAGGTAATCCAAACAATGGAGTAGTTATGGTGGAGAGGCATATTCATGTCTCTTAGGGGAGCTCAAAAAACATAAAAAATAAAAAAATAAAATAAAATAGAATGGAGTAATTATGGTGCATAATGGATGATCCATAAAATGTGTTAGGACAGTCTAGGGTTTCAAGTCCTTTTTATGTTTTCTAGTATCCATGATTATCAAGGTTAAAAAAATCTATTCATAGCAGGTGCCGAATTGCATTTTTCAGCAATATTTTAGGTGTGGCTTTACAAAGCCGCGGCTCCACAATATAAATGTTTTGAAAGGCTGCAGCCCTATCAGAATAAACCTCACCACAAAACTCACTGAAAATTGCAGTTTTAGTGCCGGAAGACCTTCAAATCGATCATCTCAGCCTTGATCATTATGGTTATGAAAAAACATAGTATTTCAAGCCCTAAAAATAATATATATTATAACACATTATCTAGACTGTCCATTTCATCCTAAAATAAGTATTCATGGATCCACAAGGTGTTTACCATTTTTTGAGCTTCAATTCCATGCTTATTGTCAGAAATTTATTATAGAGCATCATGAAGATTTTTTTATGCCCAAAGCGCTGTCTGGTAGGGTTTTACTTTATTTTCATAAAGCCTAGGCCTTGTAAAAATTGCATCCATTGGGAAGATTTGTAATCTAAGTGTTGTGCGACATATGCTGATCATGTGTTATGAAGAATACTTTTACATGGCCATTTGGGATCACTTTTACAAGTTGTATTGGACAATGAGGAAATAATAGTCATGTAAACGAAGTGTTAATTTAATAATTGAAAAACACCAAAAAGATAGCTATAAATGATCAAATGTTCTTTACATGTCATTTTGTATAGACAAGGCTGTTAATGGGCCTGGGCTGGCTCGTCTCTTCCAGGCTGGGTTCGGGCCGTCCACAGGACGGCCTAGCCGGGGTGTAATAGGCCCAAAATATTGTTTGGGCTAGCACTAGCCTTGCCTGAATTTTTTTTTGAAAACATATAAAAAACCTTTCCTATATAATTATACAAGGCCCAGCCTTATTTTTAAGGCTCGGACCTCGTTATTGTGAATATGGAATGGAAGCGGAAAATGAATTTTTAAGCCCGACCCGAACTTGCATGGTTTCAGGCCGGGCCCCGCATGGTCCTGGCTTATTAACAGCCTTGTGTTTAGACAGGGGCTACCCTAAATAAGTATTCATGACAACTACCATGACTTCATGAAAACTAAGTATATGAGTTTTTTTAAAACAAAAAGAAAAAGAAAAGAAAATGCATCCAGTCTTAGGCACTTGGATTTTATTTTGGGGTGTGATTGGTGTAAGGTTGCAACCTTAAACAATCAAATCAGGCGCTCCTCCAAACTGTATCGTAAATATAATTTTGTTGTAAAAAATATATAAGATGCCTTGAGAATCTTTTTTAATCTCTAATTCTAAAATTTTTAATTCCAAAATGGTTTAAATTATATAGATCTATAAACTCTTGAAAATCTGTTGGTAGAGACACTATTTTTAGGACTCGAAATCTTTTTGTCTTTTCATATTGTATACCCAATGTTGATATGATTAATTAGAGTTTTCCAACATCAAAACAATTTTTTATGGTGGATTTTTGAGGTGCACTTTAATCCCACATTTTAATATTGCAACCTTATATAAACTTTTTTTTTTTTTTAGTGTTGTTTGTAAGCGTTAGAAATATCATAAATGTAAGCGTTAGAAAATAAAAAAGCAAATAATTTTACTTCTAAGGTATTACCTCATCTGGACTCAGTTGGTATAGAGCTTCTCTTTGCTTCTCTCTAAGAAACATTATGCTCGTTGGAGGCTTATCTGGACCAAGCCCATAACCAAACTCCCACAGATCACCAAACCGTTCCTGTAATTCACAATTTCTGTTTTGGTAAGAAAGGGTTATATATATGTGAAACCATATTTAATGAAATAAAAATAAAAAAATTAAATTCCAGGCCATGTTAAGCTTCCCAGTCAAAAGAATTAAGAAGAAGTCAAACATTATTTGTTTTTTGTTTTTCGATATGTTGAAGGTGGGAATGGAGGGTGGGACCTTCTGTTGAAACATCTGCCCGTCTACTACCAATGCCCCAATAGGTATTTGGATGGATAGGATATTTACGTCTACTACCAATGCCCCAATAGGTATTTGGATGGATAGGATATTTAGAAAGTAAGAACATAAAAAATAAAATAGTGGGTGGGTATCTAGAGGGGAGCCAAAAAAATATAACATGAGCTTAACAAATGTATATATATATATTGCAAATTATGTTTTTGATATTTTTATTGTATTATTCTATTTTTGAAGAATACACATCTAAAATTTCAAGTTATTTAAATTTGTACAAAAAAATTAAAATTAAAATACGAAATGAGGTTGTGACCGTCAGATCGCCTCAAATTCAAATTGAGCAATTGGGTTCATATGAACTCATATGTTCATATGAGCTAGTGGGCTAATCTCAGCATTTTCTATATATATATATCAAGGAGGTTTTGTAGGGAACCAGCCATGACCCATACCATCTTGATGCCGGTTCGGTCTCAACTTATTTTCATCTAAATAGACGATCTGGATAGAAAATTGCTAGATTTTAAAACACTGATTAGAATGCATGATAACAATCACGAAAAAAATCAAATTTACCTTGGTATCAGAGGGTAAGCCTTTGTGCACCATGGCAGTCAAATATATTGCAAGGCTTATTTTCTTCCCAAAGAAGTGAAGGGCATAACCCAGGCTTAGCCCACCTGCACTGTGACCCACTAAAATAACCTGCAAAACCCAAACTAAGCTCATGAATTCATAGACAAAAAGGCTGGATCAGCTTGTTTGAGCTATTTTTAGCAAATCCTAGCGGATTTTGGAACAGTGTTTTAAAACTCAAGCAAGGGCAATAGCTTGAGTTATTCGGTATTGGCAAGATGCAAACTCCGAGAAGGAACCCGTCAGATTTAAGGTTTATATGCTTCCCCTACTGCATAAAGGATACATGTTTGCCTTCTTCATTTTGGCATGACAACTTATACAAATTTGGCCGACTTCCCGACAATTATTGTTATCGGGATATTATCGACATGTCTTAGTAGGAAAGGGATTTAACACATTATAAAACAACATTTTAAAACTTGGACGAGGCAATTCGGATTCGACCAAGTAACCCGGCCTCCGCCAATGGGCAAGGCGATTTTTGGAAGTGTCAATAGTACACAATAGTTTTAAACTTTAAATACAAGACTACCTTATATAGGATATGTTAGAATGATTTTTGATAGAATGGTTTACTGATTAGCTTTGACAATTAAATTTCATGTCAATCACGGTTTGAATCCCCCGGTCAGCTTTTTTTTAAGACTTCATTTTGTTCTACTTCAATATTTTTTTTATGGGTGCGGTTTGTATAGAGCCGAGGCTCTAAACAATCAAATTAGAGCCCACCTTCAAATAAGTTGAGAAATATAGTTACAATACTGGAAATCTTTTTGATACCCTTAAAATATATATTTATCTCTAATTATAAAATTTAAAGCTTAAAAAATAGTGTAGATTAAGTAGATCTATGAAAACCCAGAAATCTTGAAAATAGACGGTCCAAAATTGTGCTACAATATGCACTATTTCCAAAACTTGAAATCTATTTTTTTTCTCATGTCCATGCATCTTGATACCGAGATGATCACAATTTGAGGATATTTGGGCATCAAAAGCCCACCAAAATCAAACTAGAAACCTCTTATAAAGAGGTCCTTTAACCTTAAATGCATTAACCAATATGCCGTTTACTACTTGGTTGACAAAAGAATAGCCTATATTATATATAACTTAATTTGTTTCGCCAATTTTTTTTAAAAAAAATGAGTTGAACTTGAGCGAGTTACTCAAACTAACTCACCCGAGCAACTTGCCTCGGCCAGGTCCTGATTACCTTGGCCGAGTCGATTTTTTTAATACTGTTATAAAATATCTACTTTTATAAAATTAATAAATAAAATATCATTAAGGAAAATATTAGTAAAATGATAATAGAGATTATACAAATCTCATTGCTTGATCTCTCCCCCAAGAAAATAAAAATTTTACAAATTCAAAAATCTGATTTTTTAGTTGGTTTGAGTTCCATATTCAGCATTAACCATAAAAAAGAAAGGAATTTGTTTTCAAATTTCAAATGCCAATCATCTTTTTTAGAAATGGTAGGGCGTCTATATTCGTCATGCTTACTCAAAGAAGGACAAAATTTTCAATTAAATCCTCTTTCTTCTTGTATTCTTATTATAAAAGAAGGAACAAAATTTCAAAATTTAAACTTAATTTTATTAACAATAACAGCATATAAATTACAACGAATACCATTATTTCTATATTGATAATGAGTTTTTTCAAGCAAGTTGGTGGTTTGAATTAATACGATTATTATCACCGAAATTAATCAGCGTGATATTATAGGATATATAAATTTCATCATAATAATTTCAATTTATAGGGATAATATTGCAAAAAATATCAATATTACAAAATATCACGATAAAAAAACCAATAAATATAAATTAGCGGCGACAATTGCCACTAAGTCGACCAAGTCACTGACATACTCGGCTAAGTCTGTATGGATGACTCAGACTTAAGACCCTGCCAAGTCCCTAAACCGAGCCTTCTTTTTGAGCCATGGTTTGAACCTTTGACCTCTCTCACCCAAAATGATGTTACCAAGCTGAAACTGAAGGAGAGTGGATAAAAATTTAAGTGAATAGAATAAGGGTGAGGGTATAAGGTGTCAACCTGCACATCAAAATCTCGTTAAAAGATGTATTTTTGTGTCGAAACTCTGATCATAGCTTAAGAATCTATTTTTCACTTTTATTATTAAATTGAACGTTCCAAAATAGTGTAAATCTATGAACACTTAAAAACAGTGTTTAAAAAAACGCTGAGTCGAACCGGACTCGCCCGGTTCTACTCGGGAATCGCCATGGACGATTCGAATCGGTGGAAAAAATGGTCTAGAGAGAACCGGACGATTCTGCACAGTGACTCGCCGATTCACTGTACGGAATCGGCGAGTCCCGTACGAAAGAACAATTTTTTTATTTTTTATTTATTTATTTATTTATTTTTTTATTTTTTTATTTTTTTTATTTTTTTTTTTTTTTTTTTTTT